TAATCCCAGCTACTCAGGAGGCTGAGGCAGGAGAATTGCCTGAACCCAGGAGGCGGAGGTTGCGGTGAGCCGAGATCGCGCCATTGCACTCCAGCCTGGGTAACATGAGTGAAACTCTGTCTCAAAAACAAAAAAAAAACCACACAAAAAAAAGAAGAGTCCAAAGTGTCAAATGTGGAAGGGAGCACTCGGGTGGGAAATAATATTTTTGCAATCATCACAGGAAAAACTGGATCAGGTAAGAATCATTAATGATTACTAAATCTGGGTTGGGGCTGGATTTTGATGAGGAATGGGATATTTTCATGGTGCTAAAGTATCTCCCCCACAGACTGATTATTAGTAACAAAGGGGAAAGTAGTTATTTACAGTGAGGAAATCAAGCAATACTTTTTTTCAGTGATCAGAATTAGTATCATCAATGAGGGACAAATGGCATCACGTGCCTACAGATGTGATCCTGAGCATACGTCACCACCTGTGGAATATGTTGGCTAAGAATGAATCACCTGAATCTAATCATGAGAAAACATCGAAAAAAAGAAACCCCAAAGTGAGAAATTTATTAATAAACAGAGGGGAAGTCCTAGCCAGAATAATTAGGCAAGAGAAAAAATAAAAGACATCCAAATAGGAAAAGAAGAGGTCAAACTACAGTATCTCTTTGCTGACAACATGATTCTATACATAGAAAACACCAAAGACTCTGCCAAAAGACTCCTAGAACTGATATCTTCAGTAAAGTTTCAGAATACAAAATAAATGTACAAAAATGAGCAGCATTTCCATACACTAATAATGTTCAAGCTGAGAGCCAAATCAAGAACACAATCCCATTTTAATAGCTGCCCCCAACCCCACACAATACCTGGGAACACATTTAACAAAGGAGGTGAAAAGTCTCTACAAGGAGAACCAGAAAACACTGCTGAAAGAAATCGCAGGTGACACAAATGGAAAAATACTCCACGTTCATGGATTGGAGGAATCAATACTGTTAAAATGGCCGTACTGCCCAAAGCAATATACACATTTAACATCATTCCTATCAAACCATCAATGTCATTTTTCACAGAATTAGAAAAAACTAGTTCTAGAATTCACACAGAACCAAAACAAAAGACAAAAAACAAACAAACAAACAAACAAAAAAAAAACAGGCTTGGATAGCCAAAACAATCCTAAGCAAAAAGAACAATAACAGAGGCATCATATTCCCCAACTTTAAATTATACTACAAGACTACAGTAACCAAAATAGCATGGTACTGGTTAAAAAAAGAAAGAAAAAGAAAGACAGACACATAGACCAATGAAAGAAAATAGAGAACCCAGAAATAAAGCTGCACACCTACAGCCATCTGCTCTTTGACAAAGCTGACAAAAATAAGCAATGGAGAAAAGACTCCCTATTCAATAAATGCTACTGGCATAGCTGGCTAGCCAGACGCAGAAGAATGAAACTGGATTCCTACATTTCATCATATTCAAAAATTAACTCAAAATGGATTAAAAACTTAAATGTAAAAACTCAAGCTATAAAAATCTTAGAAGAAATACTCTTCTTGAAATTGGCCTTAAAAAATAATTTTTGGCTAAGTCCTCAAAAGCAATTGCAACAAAAACAAACATTGACAAGTGGGACCTAATTAAACTAAAGAGCTTCTGCACAGCAAAAGAAACTATCAACAGAGTAAAAAGACAACCTTCAGAATGGGAGAAAATATTTGCAAACTATGCATCTGACAAAGGACTACCATCCAGATACTATAAGGAACTTAAACAATTCAGCAAGCAATAAACAAATGGGCAGAAGATATGAACAGACATTTCTCAAAAGAAGATATACAAGTGGCCAAGAAACATATAAAAACGTGTTTCACATCACTAATCATCAGAGAAATACAAATCAAAACCACCATGAGATCCCATCTTACACCAGTCAGAATGGCTATTACCAAAAAGTCAAAACACAATGGATGCTGGTGAGGCCACAGAGAAAAGATAATATACTGTTGGTAGGAATGTAAATTAATTTAGCCACTGGAGATTTCTCAAATAACTTAAAACACAACTACCATTCCACAAAACAATCCCATTACTGGGTGTATATCTGGAGAAGATAAATCATTCTACCCCAAAGACACATGAATTTGTATGTTCTCAGCACTAATGGCAATAGCAAAGGCACAGAATCAACCTTGATGTCCATCAATGATGGATTGGATTAAGAAAATGTAGCACTTATCCACTGTGGCATACTATGCAGCTATAAAAAAGAATGAAGTCATGCCCTTTGCAGCAACATGGATGCAGCTGGAGGCCATTATCCTAAGCTAATTAATGCAGGAACAGGAAACCAAATACTGCCTATTTTCACTTATAAGTGGGACCTAAACACTGGGCAAACACAGACCTAAAGAAGGAAACAACAGGTCAGGTGGCGTGGCTCACATCTGTAAGCCCAGCATTTTGGGAGACCAATTGAGGTCAGTTGGGAGATCAATTTGGGTCAGTTGTTTGAGATCAGCCTGGCCAACATGATGAAACCTGTCTCTACCAAAAAATACAAAAATTAGCCAGGTGTGGTAGTGTGCACCTGTAGTCCCGGCTACTCATGAGCTCGAGAGGTGGAGGTTGCAGTGAGCTGTGATTGAGCCACTGCACTCCAGCCTTGGCAACAGAGTTAGACCCTGTCTCAAAAAAAAAAAAAAAAAAAGGAAACAAGAGACACTGGAGACTACTAGAGGGTAAAGGGAGTGAGGGGGCAAGGGCTGAAAAACTGTTGGGTACTGTGCTCACTACCTGGGTGACAGGATCATTCATATCCCAAACATCAGTATCACTCGATATACCCATGTAACAAACCTGTAAATGTATCCCCTGAATCTAAAAATCTAAAATAAAAGTTGAAAGTATAAAAAAAATCCAAATTAAAAAACAGGGGGAGATGATATTAATCAGAGATATCAATGTCATAAAACACAAAGAAAGGCTGGGGAAATGTGCCAGATTAAAAGCAGCAAAAGAGATAAGGCAATTAAATATAATACTTAATACTAGACCAACACTGTCACAGATGGGGAAGATGCTCTAATGGACATTACTGCATCAACTGACAAAACTGGAACACAAATGATAGGTTCAATAACAGTGTATCCTTCTTAAACTTATTAAAAGTAATAACTGTACCAGGATAAGGTAATAGCCCCATTCTTATAAAATTTACACCAAAAAATTTAAGGATAAGGTGCTGTGATATATCTAACTTATCTAATTTACATGCACCTGGCATAGGGGTGGGGGAGGAATGGCGGGGGCAGGGGCGGAGACAGAGAGAGAGAGGAAGCACAAATGATAAAGCAAAAGGAATCAAATATTAACAGGAGATGAATATGGGTAAAAACGTGTATGGATGCTCCTTGTACTGTTGCTATTTATTTATCTAGAAACAGGGTCTTCTCACCCTGTCACCCAGGCTGGAGTACAGTGAGGTGATCATGACCCACTGCAGCCTTGAGTAGGTGGGACTACAGATATGTGCCACCAGGCCTGGCTAATTTTTACTTTTTTTAATAGAGCTAGGGGTCTCACTATATTGTCCAGGCTGATCACAAACTCCTGACCTCAAACAATCCTCTCGCCTCAGCCTCCCAAGGCACTGGAATTACAGGTGTGACCCATCATGCCTGGCTCTTGTACTATTTTTATACTTGCTACTTTTCTGAAAGATTAAAATTATTTCTAAATAAAAAGTTCAAACAAAAATTATGATGTGCTGTTTTGGCATTTAAAGAGCTTTTGGTTTGGGCTGTTTCATAAATTCCTGGACCTCTAATATATGTGACTACTGCTGGAGAGACCTTTTGATCTAGAAGAAAGGGAGGGTTTGAGTTAAATTTTACAAAGGCTCCATCCAGTCAATCATACGCAGAAATGCCCTCATCGCCCATCTGGGAGTAACCTGCTCTCTCTGGTCCTAATCAATGCAAAAGCTAGTCCTATGGCAGGTCTTAGAAGCTTAGGAGATGGTTTGACTTCGTTTTAAATATAGGCGCCCCGTGTTTTTTAGTACCCAAGACTTTTGTTTAGTGAAAGTACTACTTTATTTTTAATGTTTTCTTTTGATGTGCACTTAAAACAAATTCAGACATCAAGAGTGTGTACTTTTTAATAGCAAAAACTTACTAAGGTTCATAACCCCTCTTAAAAAGAAACTCTTCCATTTTTAATTACGGCAAAACACTGTGAACCAATTTTAGGTCACAGACATTCACATACACAATTCTAATCATGAAAGCAGTGGGTGGTTTCTCTGCTTGCCTGGTGATGCTAAATAAGACCCTTATGAGTCCCATCAATCAAGGAGTAAAATCATTTTGGCTCTCATTATAGTTATATGAAGGCAATATTTTTATGTTTTAATTTAGAGACATGGCTCCAAATAGCATAAGGCTCAGTTAATATCCTGAAACAAGATTCTCCAACCTTGCAGATTTGTACTGGGAATGGCTTACAGCTGACTTTCTAAATAGAAAGCTACATTATTAATGACACCCCATAAGATCTCAGCTAAGCAGGAATGAGGCTGGTGGTAAAATTAAAATAAAATATTAATAACATTGACTTCAGCACAGTCAATAATCAGTTATCAAAACCTACTGCACTGCAGTGCAGGAGCCTATTTAATTTTTAGTTTTACTCAGTGCACACATCCATGATCACCAGGGGCCACTTGAACTGCTTTACAGGGCCGAGGTAACAAGACTTAACCATTACTAACAGGCTTTTTGCAGCTGCCAAAGAACTCAGGGTCAGAGATCGGGTCCATGAGGTATGATCGAATGATATTAGCCCGTAAACCTTTTGGTGCTTCATTGGTCATTTTCACTCCATTCTGCAGTACTGACACAGGGAAATTTGGAGATGGGTAACTTGTCAGCCACATTCGGAAATCTGGATGTGTTGACTCTGGGCTTAACTCCTATAAGAAAATAGATATAAAAGGGTAAATAAAAGCCAAAGCAAATCTCAACAGCATACATATGAAGGATGAGTTGGAAGGGAGAGGAAGCATTTTACAAAGTAGAAACGTAACTGCTGCAATTTTCAGCAAAAGCCTTAAAATCTGATTCTGCTTCTAAAAAAATATGCGTTGTTGAAAAGGCCCAGGGTGTTGTCATTCTCCTTGGTAACATTGACTCATATGACTATAAAGTTTACAAAAGTGTTATATAATTCAGAGTTGGTCAAAATAACTAAGACATTCCGAAAACTCTTGTATGTGCACTGATGTTGCTGAAATATTTACAGAAATAATTCTCTGCCCCAGAGATAGATTAAGCCTAATCCATTTTTCTTGCTGTAGCCAGGTTGTGCGAATAATCAAGGCACTCAGAGAAGTCAATATTAAGCCAAGCAGAGATTAGATGAGAGAGAATTTTAAAGGGTGAGAAAAACTCAGATAGTCTGAAACATCAAAACTTATCACTAACCACTATATTTATTCAAGGGGATGGTCACACCTGGACTGTGAAGGGTAACAGAACACTCAGCACCATCGCAAGGCCTTATGGGGCCTAGGAAAAATTATCATGGACTTTTGCCTCCCTTCGGGTCCAGTCCCACTTCCTACTGCTACCTTCCCCAGTCATCCATGTCAGTAGTATCTATATTTCTTGAAATGGCAAATCTATACTGGTAAAAAAAAAAAAAAACAAACCTGAGCATTCCTGTGGTGAAGGGGTGGATGAAGAAGAAAGCATAGGTGTCTATGTTTTTACATAACAGTATGGTAGGTGAAAGCATATTCTTTTTCTCCTAGCAGCTGCCCTATGGCCTAGTGACTTCAGTAACATGATTAACAGGACTCTGGTCCAATTCTTCAGGGACAGATTTCTCTCCTACAGGACTCTGTGATGGGTATATATGATATGATTCAACAGGTCATGAGAATGGTCTGGAGACGGAAGGAGCATAAGCAGACAAGCACAAATTTAAAACCTCTGATAGGCCAGGCAAGGTGACTCATGTCTGTAATCCCAGCAGTTTGGGAGGCCAAGGTGGGTGGATCACCTGAGCTCAGGAGTTCGAGACCAGTCCGACCAACATGGTGAAATCCTGCCTCTACTCAAAATACAAAAAATTAGCCGGCCATGGTGGCAGGCACCTGTAATCCCAGCTACTCAGGAGGCGGAGGCACCAGAATTACTTGAACCTGGGAGGCAGAGGTTGCAGTGAGCTGAGATCACGCCATTGCACTACTCCAGCCTGGGTGACAGAGTGAGACTTCACCTCAAAAACAAAACAAAACAAAACAAAACAAAACAAACAAACAAACAAACCACTTCTGATATAAGGCCTGAAGTATGAGGAGATGTTGTAAGGCAAATGATAAAAAAAAAACAGTTTTTCAGGCAAAAATTATATTCACTATGATGACCTATATTCTTAAGAAAGTGTGCTCAACCAATAAAAGTGAAAGTTCAAAAGGCTGGAGCAGGGAAGTCACAATGGAAAGTGGCTTGAGAAGAAACTTGAGAAGCAGGCCAAGATCCGGTCCTGAAGGGTGCTGTAGGTCATGTTGGGGGTTTGAACTTTGTCTTGCATGCCTTGGGAGGCCACTGAAAATTGTCAGGCAGTGAAGCAATATCCATTCACTAATTCAATAAGTATCTACTGATTGTATCCTATGGGTGTCACTGTTCATGGTGCTGGAGGGAAAGCAGAGGATACAACAGATAAAGGCAAAGTCATTGTCTTAATGGTGCTTACATTGTAGTGGGAGACACGGGCAGAACAAAGTGGCGCTAAGTGACATAAAGAAAAAACAAAGCCAGATGGGCGGACGGTTCAAGTTCTATCATCGCCCTGGTTATTTGGAAGGGAGTTAGGAATGGACTACAGTCATGGGTAATTCCAGAGGATTCATTTTCTCTGTGTTTGATGAGATCAAGCGCTAGGCTTTCTGTTTACTCAGTTGAGCTGCATGCAGTGTTTTTCCTGGAATTTCTGCCCACCAGAACAGCGATGTCCCATGACTCACTGCAAGGAGGGTGGGAGCAGTACCCTTCTGGTTTCAGATTTATCTACTGTGGCAGGGTAACTGGCCAAGTGGGAGAGAAGTGGGTGAAAGAAAAGTGACATTCTGAAATCTCTGAGCTTAGAGTGGCCACATGAATTTCACCTTGAACAGTCCTCCTTGGTTGCTTTAGGCCACTGTTAGAAAAAGTAAGTTAGTATATATCTACTCTGTGGTTTACTCTCCTCCTTGAGCCTGCTCCTCGAGACTGAGGATATTTCCATCTCACTGGATAAGCCCTGGTCCCTTTAAGAGGGATTTGCTCAGGGCTGGCAATGTGCTCACCTCTGTTCCTCCAGATCTGGTTCTCAATGTGAGCCCATCTCTCCTTAATCCTGCCAAGGCAGTAACCTGCAATCCCTCCAGATTTGAGAGGAACGGAGCTACCTGAATGTTATATACATTACTAATTAGATTCACAGAATACAATCTAATAAGTATAAACTTGCAAGTTTACCTCACAGACTTTCTCAAGGGTTGGCATCCAAGAGGTGGCAAGGTGACAATTCTGAAGAACCACCCATGTTCCTTCCTTGACAGCTTTTTCTAACATCTTCATAGCAATGGGCCCTTGGCCTTGACCAAGAGATAAAGAGCTAAGTTTTGATCCCCCATACCCCTGTGTACAAGAACAGTAAAGATGTTATTTAAAATCACATTTTAAGAAACATCAATAGTTATTTTTTAAAATGTTAACATTAACTGTACTAAAATTTAATTAGGTTGCATTTCTCCAAAAGTGAAACACATGCATCCCTAAAAAACTCTCATTGACCAGGAATCTTATAAACACTTAGATAAAAAGCAAGTCAATTCATGTAGGAAATAGTCATGGCAATACACGGAAAATTCTGTATAGTCTTCGGTTGTTGACAGAAGAAATAGAAAGAATAAATTAAATAGACTTTTAACATAAGGAGGAGATGAAAGGGACTGGCTGTCTTGCAGCAACTTCTAAAATCCAAACCTGAAAAGAAAACTATTAAGAGACAGATGAACTTGTCCTGTTTTCTCCAGATCTTTGAATAAGTATATTTTAATTTGGCTACTGTAAAAAGAGAATTTAAAAAATTGCCACTGATTCCATGTCAGTTTCTTTAGAGAATTCTGTGGGAATGTTTTCCTGTATTCAGTCTACTGTATTCCTACTCATCTATGGCTTCTGGGTCTCCTTTCTGGGGTAGTTATCACCAGCCTGCCCCTTTAGAAGAGGCCTGGGTATGGAAGAGTGGGATCTCAGCCCCTCCCGAATGCCCAACGCTTATTGTCATTTGCTGGCAGAAGCAGCAGAAAACAAAGCGGAGCTAGATCCTGCTGTTTCTGGGAGAAGAGCAGACAGCGAGTGAAGAGAATTCATGGAGCAGGACCCACATAGGAGCCAGAGAATAATCACATGTATAATGTGAGGAGAGATATAAAGAGTAACTAGGAAGGGCTCGAACAGTCACCAAGCTCGTGTTAATTAGGAGCAATGAGTTCTACATAAAAGTGAACACCTCTACCACTCCCACTGTACTCCTACCCACCGTTGCTCTTCCTGGACTTTCAATAGCCAGCCCCCTTACTATGACCTCCTTCCATTCTGCACCACTCAAATAAATTCTTCAGGTTCCAAATAGGATGAACTGTTTACATTACAGGTCAGATCATGTCAGTATGTTGCTTAAAACCCTACTCCTCCATCTTCCCATCTCACTCGATGTCCTTCATATAGCCTACAGAGACCCTACGTGATCTGGTCCTTCACATATCTCACACCTCATCTCCTCAATCACCAGAGCCAGGTTCCAGCACTTCTTTAATAAACAGTAAATGCTAAGCTAAGCCATCTATTCTTCTGTATATAAGAATTACAATCATGCAAGAAATATACAATTCAAAAATCCGGAGGAAATAGGACAAGTTCACCTATTTATAATTTTCTTTTCAGCTTTGGATTTTAGAAGTCGCTGCAAGACAGCCAGTCCTTTTATCTCCCCTTTAAGTTAAAATTCTTAAATTTTTCTGATGCTTTAAATCAATTTTTTTGGCCTTGTAAAGAGTATTTTGACCTCTCAGCTATGCGGCCTTTGAGGAGCTACTCAACCTCTCCATACTTTATAGTGTTCCCACATGTAAAACAGAGATGCCACCATCCACCTTATGCGGTTTTAGTAAAAATTAAAAGAGCAACCATATAAAACAAGGTCTAGCAAAGTCAACAGTATACATTAGGCACTCAATGCAAGTGGTGGTGGTGGTTTTAGAAATATCAGTAGAATTACCGCATCCTGTTGTTTTAATTGTACCAAATCAGAAAAAATTTCAACTCAGGAAATGTCCAATCAGCTGTTTATCATCATTTTCTTGTTCTAGATCTTATAATGTGAGAACATTTTTACGGAATTCATTTGAATATTTTTTAAAGACAAGGCATGTAAATAGTAGAACATATTTTAATCTAATACAGTGACCATAATGTACAATTGTTCGAGAAAGTCAAAGAAGGTCCCCCTTTAAAGAGTGGCAGAGAGGTGGGATCAGAAAAGATTTACCCCTGTGGTCACTGTCTAGACTTGAATTTATTAAATCAACCCAAGTTCATACACTGGTGTAAACAATGCCAAAGAGTTCCCTGTCCCCCCACCCCAAATAAAAGCAAATGCCCCTTAAATCCCAATTCTAGTTTTAGTTAAATTTTAATTTGGATAAGGAGGTCTTTTTAACATCAGTGCTGCCATTTAAGTATAGTTTTCTTGGGATTCTGTCAACCTCTGGACCCTTAAGCCTTTCAAAGGCTCAGTGACAAACTTCTACCTTTTCCTCATCCTTAAGATTCCAATTATAAGCAAGTATTGCTTTTTAAAAGTAATACCCAATAACACCATCTATTGTAAGGTACCTGGTCATCAGCAAATTTTAGAAGGGCAGCCATGGGATCTGCTCCAGGAGAGAGCACGAAAATCAGTGGTGCACAGCAGTTACTATCTCCAAATGCCTTGGCTAAATCAAAGGGGGGTGGTTCAATGAATGCACGCCCCAATCTGTTGATTATAAATTCCTGCAACATTGGAATAACCTAGAAAGAGACAAGAATATATTTGGAAGAATATTAAAAATCTGCCTAAAACCATTAAAAGTTTAGATTCAAAGGTGTTTTAAAACAAAGTACTCTAACTCTATGAGTTTAGGTATTCATTAATGGGGGGTAGTCCAAGGCATCAACATTCATATAAATGCCACTGAGATAGGAAATATTATCAAATATTTAGATAATAAAAGGTTGGTGTAATTGACACAAATATTCAAAGGCTTTTTTTCCCTCTTGAAACGAATGTCCAAGACAAAGCAGTTGAAGAAGAAACCTGAACTCTTAAGTTATAAAACACTAATTATGTTTTAAAAGTTCACAACTCAAAGGTAGAAATTTTAGTGTAAGTTACGCAAAATTTCTCACACATCAAGAAATAATTGATGTCAGTGGGGAAAAGAACAAGGAAAGGAAGAGCTCTGTGCAAGAGAAATAAGCCATGCACCCAAGAAACCAAGTAAAACCATGTTGTATAGACTTTCTGATAGCATGCCTGAGAATTTTCTGGGAGCCTGTTTGAGAAACGCAGAACTCTGCAGCTTGGTGTCTCTGCTAATTGGTCCTTTTCAGGCCTAACACGGGAGTGGAATTGCATTAATCAGTGTGACTGATGTACAGCCTTCAGGTACAACATTCCTGCTTTCTGAAGAAGGGTCTATATCAAGCCACTTATGAGGATCCACCCTCGTGACCCACACACCTCCCATTAGGCCTCGCCTCCCAACACCACATTTGGGATTAAATTTCAAGGTGAGTTTTGGTGGGGACAAACTCAAAGCACACCAATAATTAAACAAACTGGGTTCATCATGTTGTCTACCTGTATACTTGCAGCTGCTATTTATTTTCAAAGTGAATAAAAATTCCAATCATGGCAAGTGGATGTGCACTAGAAGATCTATAGTTATTACTCTACAGTAGCCACTTTAAAGAAGTTATTTGGTTTTTCAATACTCTAACACAAAACTGTTAATTCAGCTTGGTTGTTTTCTACAGCAAAGCAAGGAAGACCTAAAAATGTTTATCCCTGAACAGGGGATTAAATGCTATATTAGTAAAATGTAAGGGATCTTTTGCAACTTCACTTTTCAAGGACGCATCTGCAATGCTTCTGATAAAGTCAAGCAGGGGACATTGTCACCTGGCCCCCATGTTCATGCCTCACATCAAACAAATATTTTGACACCTTCATCAAGTATGGCAAAAATTGAAACAGTGTTGTTAATGACTCAGCATAAAACTATTTCATTTTCCTGGAGAAAAATCAATTGATACCTATTTTCACTCATAAAAAAAAAACTCTAAGTGAAAGGGAAAAGTAAATCTAGGAACAAAATACAGGAGAAAATGTGGGAAAGAAGAATGCACTCGTGTCTCAATTTTCTCCTTTGCTTTTTTCAAATCTATACTCCCTTTACTATTATGCTTTTCTTTTCCCATATCCAGTACTGTGCTGACAAAACAAACTGAATGAGTTGAAAAATGAGTTGCTATAAAGTCAAGACACCCTCTGGGTGTCTGCTTCCCCTTTGACCTTCTGCCATGCTGTGACATTGCACAAAAGCCCTCACCAGAAGCTAAGCAGATGCTGGTGCCATGCTTCTTGCACTTTTCAGCCTGTACAATCATGAGTTACTAATCTCTCTTCTGTGTAAATCACGAAGCCTTAGGTTGTCTGTTACAGCAACACAAAACAGACTAAGAAAATTGTCTAGTTTCAATTTGTCTTCTAACTATTAACTACCAAATGTATGCTTTTTCCTGCTCTGAAATATATACATATGCACAAAAATTGTCATAAATATTTGTCGTTCATTTCTTAATCACAAACTCTTGCAAATGAATTGATTCCCCCTTCACAGAATATTGTGAACACTACCTTACAGTTTAAAACTAAACTCCTAGTAGACAAGCGGCTATGAGGGCATACCAATTTCAGAAGGGAACAGTGCTATCTTGAGAGAAGGAGTAATGGAAAGATTTTTTGAAGGCTCCAGGATCACCCTGACTGAATAGCTGCTCAGATACAAGAATGGAATTGTGTGTATATACAGCACACCAAATGAGAACTCCACCAGCCTGCAACTTTTCTCAACTTGAAACAAACTGCAGGAGCAATGTGCAGGTGCCAAGTATCTCAAAAAGGTGGTCTACTCTGGAAAACACTGCAAGTATCTCCAAACTTTGACTTTATAGTGTACGGAACATTTATTTACACAAGATCTGTAAGTAAAAATACTTGACATGTCACAATGCCTTTTAAAAAGTGTCAGTCCCAGTGCATGTGTGACTGAGGGACTGAGGGGGTTAGGGTAGGGAGCTGAGAGCCAATGGAGGAATATCTATGTTAGAGATGAGAGTTTTTTAACCCCTCCCAATATTTCTCTAAATTCATTCAAATATGGAAAAGGTATAGATGCACAACAACACATTTATTGATGCCTGATAGCATGGACCGACCTAACAGGATGACTTAAATACTGTTTGTGCACAATAAACATCTGTTGAATGAATACATTGATAAAAAGCTTGGGATGCCTATTTCTGTGAAGGTGGGGTTCTAATTACAAATACGTAAAACAAAAATCACAGGATAATTAATTCATCTATACATAAAGTTTCATTTATAGGTAAGTTATTTTATGTTTCAGGTTTTTTTTTTTTTTTTTTTTTTTCCTTCTTTAAAATCTGTATAAATTTCAGCCAGGCACAGTGGTTCAGGCCTGTGATCCCAGCACTTTGGGAGCCTGAGGTGGGCAGATCCACCTGAGGAATTCAAGACCAGCCTGACAACATGGTGAAACCCCAACTCTACTAAAAATACAAAAAAATTAGCCAAGTGTGGTGGCGCATGCCTGTAATCCCAGCTATTTGGGAAGCTGAGGCATCCCAACTATTGCTTGAACCTGGGAGGCAGAGATTGTTAGTGAGCCAAGATTGTGCCATTTCACTCCAGCCTGAGCAACAACAGAGAAACTCCGTCTCAAAAAAAATTTAAAAAATTATCTCAGCTACCCAGGAGGCCAAGACATGAGAATCGCTTGAACCCAGGAGATGGAGATTGCAGTGAGAGGAGATGGTGTCACTTCACTCCAGCCTGGGGGAAAGAGGGACTCTGTCTCAAAACAAAAACAAAAAAACAAAAACTTTGTATAAATTTATGGGGTGCAAGCGTAATTTTTTTTATGTGCATAGATTGTGTTGTGGTGAAGTCAGGGCTTTTAGGGTATCTGTTGCCCAGATAATGTCTACTGTACCCCTTAAGTAATCTCTGGTCATCCACTCCGGCACCCCCTTTACCCGTCTGAGTCTCCACTGTTTATCATTCTACACTCTATATCCGGATATACACGTTATTTAACTCTTACTCATAAGTGAGAACATTCAGTATTTGTCTTCTGTGCCTGAGTTATTTTACATAAGATAAATATTTCAGATACTTTGAATGATCACAGATGTCAAACTTATTGCAGGAAGATGAAAAATATCCTAATTGTCTGTCCCAGGCCTTGGTCTTGCCCTTTTGCTTATTATCATTTTCCTATAGCTGGTCTTTTCTCACTAGATTAAAAAAACAAAAAACAAAAAAACCCACTTTTTTCATAATCTGTTTCCTCCCAAGGCTAACTTCACAAAATTATAGTTTTGCAAACAAAATAAAAAGAGCACGGGAACTGCATGGTTCTACTTGTAGTAAGTTTCAATTATAAATGGCCTCACTTCAGTGAGTGGTTCAAACTGGTGTTAGTCACAAATGTGTCTGGCAGAGTGAAGTGATTCTTCTGTCAGCACTGGAGGATCTAGGTGGGGTGCTCACCTGAGAGTGATCAGAGACAAACTGCAGTGTTGCAGTCGTAATATTAAAGCTGAACAAAACTTACTTGCTCTCAAGACTGAACTGTAACTCCCCTGGTAAAGGAAGCTGTGTAAGCTATTGGGCTTGCAAGACAACAGAATTGGGTTTGCCTCTTCAATCTGATTATGCCAGCATTAGGTTTGTAAAACGAAATCTGTCAGTATCAAAAAATTACAGACTAATCTAGGCAACCATCTTCCCAAAGGCAGGAAAGAAGTTTGTGGTCTTCTATGTATGTTTTGCTATTTATTGCAAGTTCCTACCGGATTTATCTGAGGTCAGAGAAACATACTAACTTATATTTGACAAGTTTCTTATTGAAAGCTGATTAATGTGCTGTTTGTTTACCATTTAGAAGATAGAACTGTGGCCCAAAGCTCTTCATTTTGTAAATGGACCCAAAACGTTCTGCACCTCAGTATTTAACCATTTGATATGTTTCTTTTGTCAATAAAACACTTTAAACTATTACATTCTAAAGGAAAGTGTAAGCCCATCTCATTTTTTTTTTTTTTTTTTTTTTTTACTGGTGATTTAGTGAGAATCTTTGTATTTTTCCAAACTGGAGCAGCGGAATTGTGTTTCAAAAGTTCACAACTCAAAAGTAGAAATTTAAGTGTAAGTTAGGCAAAATTTCCCACAACATCAAGAAAGAACTGATGTCAGTATGGAAATCATTTTTGTGGCTTCTTACCACTGAGTGGGGCTGGTTTTGAAGGGAGAGGGGGAAAAGGAGACCCCCCTAAAATTGAGCTCATGGAACATACTATAAACTAGAGATCAATTAATTGCTGATTTTCCTGGATATCTGTGAATATACAGATTATCTCTTAGGGATGACAAATAAATAAACCCTTACAGAGTACTAGCTTAGATATTAGCCCCCACAGCACTGTTCCTTACCCTGGTATGCTACTACCATTCTTCTTTGGAAAACCATTTTTTAAAAAAAGCATAATAGCCACGTATCATTTTATCATATATAGATTCCAAAATCATAATTTCACCACTAGAAATTAGAATATCTGGTTGTAATCCCAGCACTTTGGGAGGCTGAGGCAGGTGGATCACGAGGTCAAGAGATCGAGACCATCCTGGTCAACATGGTGAAACCCTGTCTCTACTAAAAATACAAAAAATCAGCTGGGCATGGTGGCACGTGCCTGTAATCCCAGCTACTCAGGAGGCTGAGGCAGGAGAATTGCCTGAACCCAGGAGGCAGAGGTTGCGGTGAGCCGAGATCGCACCGTTGCACTCCAGCCTGGGTAACAAGAGCGAAACTCCATCTCAAAAAAAAAAAAAAGAAATTAGAGTATCTGGTAACAGTAAAATTAAAGGGTTTGAAGTTGCTGGATAATATAAGGGCATACTAACAACAATTACTTTTTATTACAGATATAGGTGTGGAGGTGTTGCTAATGGTACCTAGTTAATTGTAACACTTAGGATAAACTGAGTTTAGCTGTATTGGCAAACAATTTCCAAACTGCAGAGGCTTAACACATGAAAACTTACTTCTCGTTCCTGCAAGGTCATCTGATTCTTGAGGCAACTAAATCTCCATGCATTGACTCAGCAGTCAAGCCTGCTTACAGTGCTTAAACAGCAGCAATATGTGATTTCACTATTTTGATGTCAGGAAGAGCACCTCGGAGAATCTCACCCTGGCGGTTAACTGCTTCTAAGCTAACACTTCTGCTCACATTTTATTGGTCAAAGTAAGATATGTGGCCACCATCCTCCCACTTCAAGTGTGCACAGGAGAGGAGAACCAGAAATATTGGTGAGCAGTATTGTCTACATACTTATCTATATATTCAAGTAAAATTGGGAGACTGTAGAGGAGATTTGTAAATATACATGAAGACGTTACAAGACAGAGGGCTAAAGTATTAGGCAACGTAGCTGAGAGAAGTATAAAACCGTTAAGTTTAACCTCCACGGATTTAAAAACAAACAAAAAACATAAAAACCAACCTGCCCCCCCCCAAAAAAACCTCAGTTTGACTATATAACTCCCACCCTCCCTCAAACATACTTTAAAAAGAGAGTGAATGTGAAAAGTGATATTTAATTGTATTGACAGCTCCATGTATTTTCAGATTAAAGTGTCAAATTTTAAAAAATATAAAACAAGGGGAAAATATTTGCAGATGAAAGTGCTGCAATTGGGAAATGGCTCATTAATCACTTTTAACTTAATATAAAACATGAACATATATATTTTTAATATTGAGGAGGAAGGTCAGTGGTACATCCAGAGCCATTTTAGTATAACAATCTTTATTTAGCTTAGAAAACACAGTGAAAAACTGAAAATTTTAATAAAATGTTTTAGAGTAAGAAGCCATAATAAACAAGAGTGTGAAGCATCTCAAATTCTCCCATCTTTAATACATGAAGTGAAAACTTGTGAGGCTTAACACTAGTTTTCATGGAGATTCAATTTTTTAAAAGGGCTACCAAGCGGTGGGGCTATGTTTCGCCAGGTTCATAATGAATGCTAAACCACTATAGTTACTTCCAGCATCTGACAGCAAGGTAGCAGAGTCACTTTCATGGACCCTCGGTACTTCAAGGGCCCCTTTCTCCATTAAAAAAAATTAAAATTAAATTTTACAACTGTTTTGATATAAAGACAGATATAACACACCCTGGATTATATTCTTCCGATTTTAAAAGAAATTACAATATTTTCACAGACCCCCAGAAGTATTCTGGTTCTCAAGCAATGTGCCTCCTGTGCCTAATGGATACTTGGGTCTTGGCTAACAGTAATGGACTGCCACATTATGCAAGAATTACATGTGTTCAGTGAACAGAGTAGGGCTCATAGAGGAAAAAATGCTTCTACCCCATATTATCACCAATGTGTATTTTTAAAAAATTAATATATAGCTTTGACTAAGTTCTGCTTTATTTATTTTTTTGTGTATGGAGACATTGTCTCCTATTGCTTAACAGCTGAAACTGAATATAAGTTTTGAAATATTGGTGTCGAACTTTTATTTGAGTGGTAATAATGGACAACTAGGATATTTTCTCAATTTTTTCCAATATAGCTAATTTATATATATATATATGTATATATATGTGTATATATATATATGTGTGTGTGTGTATATATATATATTTGAGATGGAGTCTCACTTTGTCGCCAGGCTGGAGTACAGTGGCGCAATATTGGCTCACTGCAACCTCCGCCTCCTAGGTTCAAGTGATTCTCCTGCCTCAGCATCCCGAGTAGCAGGGACTACAGGTGCCCGCCGCCATGCCCATCTAATTTTTGTATTTTTAGTAGAGACGGGGTTAAACCATGTTGGGCAGGATGATCTCAAACTCCTGACCTCAAGTGATCCGAAGTGCTGGGATTACAGGTGTGAGCCACTATGCCTGACCTGCTAATGTCTACTTTTTTTTTTTTTTTTTTTAGAGTATATCGATATCTTTGTGAATATCAGCCAATATTCTTAGGTGAATTTTTTAATCTAATACAAATGAGGATGTCAATGAGTATTGACATTTGCTGATATAACAGGTCTGCTGATTTGTTATATATTAAAGAAGTTAAAAGTAACAATATTGATATTTTCCTTTGTCAATAATGATGAATGTCTTAAATTCAAATTCCAACAAAAACTACATATAATGATAGCATTTGAGAAGTCCAGAGATTCTAGTCTATCAGCTTGATGTTAACATCACTGACTAATTTCACCCAGTAATAAGAGTAAAAATGAGACTACAAATATGTAAAGGGACTAGATTGTGAGTACTGAGAACCATAAATTAAAAATAATCACAAAATAAAATTATAAAACATAATCCAATTAGTTGCTAATTTAGCATGGTCTTAGTAAATAAACAAACTTTTCGAAACAACATCTGCATTAGAAGGAAGTGGGATTATTTTCTGCAGGATCCTCCACCTCCCCCATGATTACATAAAGAAACAAATTTGGATGGACTGAGCAGGCATAAAGCTTTGGAATCGTTGAGCTGTTTTCAAAGCCCACATTTACCTTGTCTGGCCTCAAGCAACGAATAATAAGCATCCTCTGAAACTCATTTACTTTATCTTCCCATTCTTCAGGGAAAACCTCATGGTGTGGTTCCTAAAATTACAGTGTAAATAATTCAGCGTTATTTTGGAGATCATAAAGAGAACAGTATTTTCACTTATAAACCAACTTTTAGAAAAAAAAAATATAAATGAAATCAGGAATACTTGCGTAAAAGTGTAAAGTTGGGAGGTGGTTATAAAATAATGAGAAGAAAAGTTAATATACTTCAAAGGAATCAAGCAAGGACATGAACTAAGCAGGTTAATGTCAACATGAACCCTAATAAAAAGACAAAATGATCCCTATTATGAAAACAGTAAATGTGCATATGCTATTATTTTCCCTTTATTTCTCCAAGGCTCTTTTCTTTTTTTTGAGACAGAGTCTTGCTGTATCGCCCAGGCTGGAGAACAGTGGCGTGATCTTGGCTCACTGTAACCTCTGCCTCCTGGGTTCAAGCAATTCTCCTGCCTCAGCCTCCCGAGTAAGTGAGATTACAGTGGTGCACCACCATGCCCAGCTAATTTTTTGTATTTTTAGTAGAGATGGGGTTTCGCTATGTTGGCCAGGCTGGTCTTGAACGCCTGGCCTCAGGTGATCCACACACCTCAGCCTCCCAAATTGCTGGGATTACAGGCAAGAGCCACTGCTCTCGGCTGCAACAAAGACATTTCTAAAAACCTACCTACTTCTCTCATCATCTATTTACCAAAATAAATAAATATGTCAAAACAAGTAAAAAGGGCATTGTACTGAAATTTATTATTTCTTGTTTTGAACAATCTTTAAAAATTATTTTCAGTAAAGGGAGACTTGAGAATGTGTGTAATGAAGAAGCCAATCGAGAGCGATTACAAAATCATAAGAAGAGAGGCATCAGGATAGCAGCAGGAGGGGTAAACCTTGGGAGGAAGAAAAGGAGACGTGTACCTGTGAAACTTTAGGAAAAGCTATGTGGTATTTCAAATTAGAAATCTTCAGGCTTCAGTATAGTAATAAAATTTTAATTTCAAATTAGTTGACGTACTTACAACACATATTTGTTTCTAGAAAGCATTTTTATTACTAACAAGAAAAAATCCAAGAGATCACTTCCAAATATTTGAATTCATGTGAAGACATAATCTCATTATTATTTACTTTTCAAATAAAATATTTTTACAATATTTTATTTGAAAAATAAAACAAACATATTTCCATCAAAAACAAAAACAAAACAAAACAAAACAAAATCTCATTATCACATATAATACAACAAGTAGGTAACAAAATAAAATATAGGTTAACCAAACAAAACATGCTCTCCGCATAGCTAGCTTTCTTTCCTCCAACCTCTCCCAAGCAGAGCTCTTGCATGTTAAACTCATGGAAAGCAGGAAGTCAAGACAGTAGAAACAAAGGAACAAAAAAAGTTAACTAGGAATTGGAAAAATAATAGCCCTTGCACTGAAGAAAAATTGAGAGAAAGCAACAAATACTATATATCCCATATGAGGAACTATGAATATTATATCTGTGTCAATTATAATACTCCCCAGTTAGCAAAACAAGGTCTCATGAAAATTATTTTAGAAATACTGTATAAGCTTTTTCCTTTTCTCAAATGACAAAAAAAAAAAGAACCAAAAATTGTATTAGCTTGTATCCTGCATTCAGAAAATCTGAACGACAGCTGTTTCATAAACTTTAACTCATCTGCTATTAGGATTGCCAAAATCCACACTAATAATGAATAAAAACCTGGCATGGAAATTCAACAAAAATATTTTCAAGAACCACGCAGCATTCTTGCATCTTAATACTTTTCAAGGAGTTTGAATGGAAGTTCAAATAGAGCCACTGACTTAAAAGGTGGGATAACATAACTCAAAGCTTGCACTCTAACATGTGACCGGTTTTTCAAAGCTTATTTAAACCTTGTTTTATGAAAAGATAAGTTATTTAACATCCTTTTCTCCATTTAAAAACATAGGAATAAGCAAGAGGGTTAAAACATACCAAACTATCATATACTTTCTTCCATCCATCCTTTAAGCGCATAAACTCTCTACGAATGGTTTTAAAGGCAGGCAAATCATCTAATCGACATATTTCATCCCAGGATTTTTGAGGAAGCCATGTACAAGGGTTGGCATGAGGATTATCCAGTCCAATGCCACCAGTTAGCAGAAATCTCCACTCCGCTTTATTAATCTTTGGAAAACAAGGCAGCAGGAAGAGCCAGAAATGAGTTCATCATAAACTAGTAAGCTTATGATCACTATATTAAAGAGTGTTGACTTGCAAGTTTCAGATGTGGTCTCTGAATTTCTATAGCTCGTGATATAGCTCAGTATTTATTCATAAGAAACCAATATACTCATTAAAGCAGTTTTCAAAATGGCTCCATTTTGGATAGCTACTTTTTTACAATTTTTCCTCCAGAATTACTTGTCTAAATGTGAAAATCTGAATATATTCTATTCAAATACACGTTTTCCAATATGACTGCCTAGAGTCCTACTGGCTATAGAAATTGTAGAAAGACAGAAACCCATCAATGTGCCATGTTTTCAATTATTCTCCATAAAGTATAATGAATTACTGCTATACAATTTTTGCAAGAAATGCAAGAGTAAAGTCTTTATTTCTTCAGAATTCAACCGATACATCACCATATGAAATCCATAAATCTTAAACATGTAAGTGTATAAAATAGTGACTTTACACAGATTTTAGTAACTTGCACAAGTCTTTAAAAACATTTAGACTACTTGGTGTAAATGTATCAATATTAAATAAATTTATATACATAGCTGTATGAAAATCTAATGCGATTGATTTATTTTAAAATAAAATGTACAAAAGTTCATATATTTATATATATGCATAGCTGTATGAAATTTATATGCAAAGCTGTATGAAAATCTAATACAATCAGTTCATTTTATGTCTCACTTATTGTATGTTTTATTTAAATCTCGCTTCTTGGAAATTTATTCTCCTGATAACATCTTACCTAAACTGTAATAATAAACAGGATTATTGTTTAATTACTTACAATCTTTTTATATATATTACCATATAAATCAGTAAATTAATGAATCAGTGTTATTAAGGGTTTTTTTTCTTAAAAATGGAAACAGTACTAACCGCCTGCTCATGCAGCAGTAGATTTACAGTTAGACAAAAGGAAAAAAGCAGCTTATCCTTTTCAAACAGTGATCGGCAGACATTAACATACAGTGAATAGGTAAAGTGATCCTTGAGAATCTGAAGCCTAAGGGTCAACAGAAAATAAAGGAAATAAATAAAAATATACTTTAAAGATAATGCTCTTAAGAAAAGACATTGTACACCATTTACATGTATGTTCTTCCGATAAACTTTATGGTCAAGTACCCCCAAAACAATCAAGAATCCTCATTAACTGGATGCAACAATTTGAGAGCTACACAATGTAGAAACACTTCAGTCCAATTGCATTTTACTGTCGACTGAATTGTTTTTTTAAACTTAATCTTCCTCTTGGAAAAAAGTCAGTGGATGGTGCATTAATCTTTTAGATTAAAAAGTTTACAGACTGTTTTAATCTAGAAAGCATTTCTGGGGGTAAAATTTGACCACTTTATAACAAATAATTTCAAATGTTTTATATATTAAATAGTCTAAAATTAGTAGCTTCATTAAACTTAGTATTGTGCTACTTGTAAATTCATGAAAGCTGAAGAAATCACAAAACTTGACAAACATTTTTATTTGCTAGAGACAAAACATGAAAATATGAATAATCACAATATTTCCTTTTTATTATTTATTTCTGAGACAAGAGTCTCACTCTGTTACCCAGGTTGGAGTGCAGTGACTTAATCTTGGCTTACTGCAACCTCCGCTTCCTGGGCTCAAGCCAACCTCTTGCCTCAGCCTCCCCAGTAGCTGGAACTACAGGTGTGTACCACCACACCTGGCTAATTTTTGTATTTTTTGTAGAGACAGACTTTCACTATGTTGCCCAGGCTGGTCTCAAACTCCTGACCTCAAGTGATCTGCCCACCTTAGCCTCCCAAAGTCCTGGGATTACAGACATGAGCCACCACACCCAGCCACAATATTTCCAACAACTTCCTATTATAGTAAGTGGTAACTTGTGATCTGTATTCATAATAATTCTTAATAACAACATAACACTTTAAGTATTTTCCATTAATTATCACATAAGGAAATAAATTATCACTGAATCAAATTTAAAAAATTTTTTTATCACATGGGTTATAGTAGTTATAACAGAAATGAAGAGTTGGCTGTAAACATTTTTAGAGAGGTAATGATTGACATGGATTCCCCAAACATTCCTAGCAGATCATATCTGAGGGAAAAATCAGCATAGTTTGATCATGATTAAGCAAAATTACATTGCGGGTTCTTAATGTTTCTAGGAAAAAAGAGTCTACTTGTATGACTAGATCTTGGCAATGTCCTGACTGATATTCTAGGTTGTCAATCATCCTAGCTCTTTTTTTTCCATTTTTCCTTACCTGCCTATTTTCTTAACTATTTTAACCCCTGCAGCATTCCCATAAAGAGAATTACAACAAATTGATATATCTTATTTTTAATTGGGAACTTCAAAAAAGGTTTTTGTAGAGAAAGCCTTGGCAGGGGTTGCTAAAATACAGTTGAATTCTTAGATTTAAAATAAACAAACTATTTCTGTCCCCATTATTATGCTAATAGGTTGCCTTTTCATGTATGGCACTGAATTTGTCTCACTTGTAGCAGTACTATACAATTAATACAGGGCGAGTCACATTTGGTCTTTCTAGAATAAAAAATATTTTCTGTACTTTAAGACAAGTCTCTTCTTGCAGACAGAAAGATTAAAGGAAAAATTATAAAGGTTAATCATAAGTTCAGGTTCAGTCACTAGTAAAAATGGAGACATAATATGATATTTTAATAACCTTTTAAGGTGAAAGAGAAGATTAAAATGATCATTCTCAATGCTGGGTCTCTGATTGAGTTGTGTGTTTGAATAATCTTCCAGGAAAGGAATTTATATCAGGAATCTGCAAGAAGTGAACACCTTTGTCCTAATTTTGGGATTCCAGCCTAAGAAAATATCAGTGATGCAGACATTTATCTTTACTGCAGCATTACTTACAATACAAAAGCTGGAGACTACTTAGAAGCATTTGTTTGTTTTTAAGACAGCATCACACCCTGTCATTCAGGCTGGATTGCAGTGGGACAATCATAATTCACTGTAGCCTAGGACTCCTATGCTCAAGTGGTCCTCCCGCTTCAGCCTCCTGAGTAGCTGGGACTACAAGTGCATGTCACCACACCGGGCTAATTTTTCTATTTTTTTGTAGAGACAGGAATTTACTATGTCACCCAAGCTGGTCTTGAATCCCTGGGCTCAACCAATCTGCAAACCTCAGCTTCCCAAAGTGCGGGGATTACAGGTGTGAGCCACCCCACCCAGCCAGAAGTCTTATAATATGAAAATTATGGTACATTCATACAATGGTATGTATATTGTGCAACTCCTAAAAATTATGTTTTAGAAGAATACTTAATAACACGAGAAAATTGTCTTGATGGAAGTGGAAGAAAACTGCGTAATTATCAAACTGCCTTTGCAAAATTATGACAGTAAGAGAAATCTGACATAGCTGACTCCATCTTGCTTCTAGCCTCCAAGTCTGGCTGTCTTGGTTCACTCCATGCCCAGGAATGAACCAAGACAGCCAGCCTTTGGAAGAAATTTAGTTTTCCTTGCTGAGTCCCTAAGATCGCATCTCCAACCAATCAGCATGCCCTCTTCCCTGACGCCCTGCCCACCAAACTATCCGTGAAAAGCCCTAGCCTCTGGATTTTCAAGAGATTAATTTAAGTAATAATTCCATCTTCTGTGTGACGTGGCCAGCTTCACATCAGTTAAACTCTTTCTTTACGACAATGCCAGGGTCTCAGTGTGCTGATTTTGTATGTGCAGTAGGCAGGAAGAACCCATTGGGTGGTTAACAATTACACACATATGCATATTTGTACAGCAATAGATCGATTCCAAGATATTTAACAAAACTATATCCTAGTTAGATTTTGTTTCTATATTTATGTTATTTTTTTTAGTTTGTTGGCTACATAAAGTTATTTATTCTGTTACATAAATTCTATTGCATTAAAATCTTATAAATAACAGATGATCCAAGTTACTATGGGAATTGCACAGCATATACCATACTAGTCATAACAAAATATATGCTTGGTGTCATACTTAATAATAATTATAAATAATCACTACCAGAAGACAAACAAGAATGAAATACATTTATATTCCTAAAGGGAAATAAGAGGTAATTTTAGACCAATATTAAGATTCTAAAACAGGCCGGGCGTGGTGGCTCATGCCTGCAATCCTAGCACTTTGGAAGGCTAAGGCAGGCAGATCACCTGAGGTCAGGAGTTCAAGATTGGCCTGGCCAACATGATGAAACCCCGTCTCTACTAAAATATAAAAATTAGCTGCATGATGGCAGGTGCCTGTAATCATGGAAGGCTGAGATGGGAGAATTGCTTGAATCCGGGAGATGGTGGTTGCAGTGAGCTGAGATCGTGCCACTTTGCACTCTAGCCTGGGCGGGTGAGTGAGACTCTACGTCAAAAAAAAAAAAAAAAAAAAAAAAGATTTTAAAATGATCAGGTTGGCTAGTGTCAATAGTCAAATGTTTTTGGTAGAATCACATGCTTTTGGTAGAGCATAGAATAGTCCACTCAATTCTACTATGCTTTTGGTAGAGCATGGTCCAATAACTCCCTGAAGTTTACCAGTTATTTGATGTTTTATTAATGGTTGGCAGAAAAACAAATCATTCCCATGAGAACTCATTCTCTTTTCAATTTCTGATTTGGGAGCTAACTTCTTAATTGGAAACTCTTGGTTTAACAACAAAAAAGATTAAACAGAACTGGTCAGTTTTTCTCTTGGTACAATGCTTTAGAAAACTATTGTCAGTATTTACTAAAAGGGAATATATGCATGCCCTGTGATAATCAGTTTCATTCCTGGATATACACCCACCAAAGACATGTATGTATCAGCACCAAAAGCCATGTACAGAATGATCAAGGAAGCAAAATTTCATCATAGCCCCAAGTTGGAAGATACCCAAATATGCTCAATAGAAGAATGGATCAATGATTTGTATTACAGTGTTAGGACAAGTAAAAATTAAAAATAAGAGACTTGATCCTTTCTGCTGAAAATAAGGAAAGAGATTTCCCTTCCCTCCTTTTTTTCTTAATTTAATTTAGAAAAGCCAAAATTGTAAGTACTTTTTCCTCTCTTTGAAATGTATATAAACCCTTTTGAAAATTTTTGTCAGTTTTATGACCCAGTAATGTGTTTCTTAAAGACCCAGATGCCATTTCTTTGAAATGTAAACACCAAGGGAGATGGCCCACCTGCCTCCAAGTCACTGCAGAAGGGTAGGAGCCTAACTTCAGTTTAGCTTATTTCAAGTTTCAAAACTACCTCTTGTCATATAGGTACGAAAAGTTTGGTTTTCCTCTGGATAAAGCCAATTTGCTAACAAAGATGGTCACTTCGATCGCCAAGTAAAGTTAGGATGAACTAAGTGTGATGTAATGGGTTGTATCTGCTTCGGTAATTAAGGGGGTGAGATTCCTCTCTGACTGCAATCTCTTTGCAATTGCCTGCGACTTGTATCACATTCTGTTTAACGTTTATTCAACAATAAAACTGTTTTCTTTTGCTACAGCCTTTGAGGAGAGAGTTTCTGGGCTGGGAGAAGATGTAGTTTTTAATTATACTTCCCCAACAATAGAAAACTAACAATTAAAGTAAGCAAATGCTGCACTAGACAAAACAATGTGCATTAATTTCACAAGCATGATGTTGAGGGCGAGATGTAAGACACAAGCACACGGTGTGTGATTCTATTTATAAAGTTCTAAAACTGGCAAAAACTATAACCTGCAGTGTTGGAAGTCAGGACAGTGGTCTCCCTGGGGCAAAGGGTTAGTGATCAGAAGGGGACACTTCTGAGTCGTTGGTAACATTCTGTGCATTGAGTTGGGTGCCAATTATACAAGTTTACTCACTTACCGGCAAATACTTCTGATTTCTGCACGTTTCTTCATGTGTATTGATAACTTCAATAAAAGGTTAAAATACATTTTCTCTATTTACCTTTTGGTCCCAGAATTATACTTTTAGTATTACTGAAATATACATATGGTTTTCATTGTTTCAAAATAAAAGAAGTTTAACTAAAAAGAAAATGCCACATTTTGTTTTCTAAATTTCATCTGAATCACTCATCTGGGTAAAAAGGATTTGCTTTTCCTTATATCTTAAGGGACAAAAGCACAGTAATGAAGAAACAAAGTCCATACCTTGGATGAGCTCTAACTTGATATAATGAGAGACTATAAAAGACCCATCATTATTTTTAAAGGACACAATTGTTTTCATTTTTCAAGCTTATATGAACAATGTCTTTAAATGGCAGACCAAAGCAGTTTTCTTCTCTAGACTCCAGAAAATACCTTGATTTTAAGCTAATTAAGAGAGTAACATTCTGGTGGTTATTCTTTTAACCAAGGTAGAAATTAAGACCAGTAGAAAAAAGCAGAGCATCATTTATTGTGTGGCTGTAATTTGATTAGTACTATAGATATAGTTTTGTTTTGTTTTGTTTTGAGATGGGGTCTCACTCTATTGTCCAGGCTGAAGTATGGTGGCACAATCATGGCTCACTGCAGCCTCAACTTCCTGGGGTCAAGTAATCCTCCTACACAGGCCCACACCACCATGCCTGGCTAAATTTGTGTGTTTTTGGTAGAGACAGGGTTTTGCCATGTTGTCCAGGCTGGTCTTAAGCTCCTGGGCTCAAGCAAGCTGCTCATCTTGGCCTCCCAAAGTGCTGGGATTACAGGTGTGAGCCACCATGCCCAGCCTGGGGATAATTTTTTTTTTTTTCTTGTCTCATGGAACTCCAAATCTAGTATGAAAACCAGACATGCATGTTTAATTAACTAAATTATAATGCAAATAGCTGGGAACTTTTCTAAGAAAGATTACTTAAAATTTTGTTTTACTTATTTCTGTAATCCTTGCTAAACTTGAAAATTTCAAAACTGGAATAAAGAAATAAACTAAACATTTTCAAATATCATAAAGAGAAGCTCTATCGTTACACATTTCTTCCAAATAAATAATGTACTGCCCCCCTTTCTCAATGGCAGATATCTAATTTCTTTTTAGACTCACACCTTAATTAGTCGCGTATTATAACTTGTAAAATAATCAATCTTGCTAACAAAAAGTTGCTAAGTCTAAGAACAATCAACATTTTCAACCTCTACCATGATAAAGAAAGGAATTCAATTCAGGTTTCAGTGAGATTAACATTTTAGATTTCTAAAAAAGAATTCTTAGCAGTGAATGATAAATAGTAAATTGAGTTTCCCTTGTGGGTATGAACAGTCAAGAAACTGAAGTATCTACGTTCATCTTGATCAAGAAGTTTACAAAAGGCAAAAGTTGCAATTAATCACTTTCTTTTTTCAAAAAGTAATTTCACATTTAACTCTATTAATAACATGTTTTAATACCAAACTGAATCTCACTGATTTAAAAATTCAAATGAAATTTAATTCTCTTGTAGATTTAAGTCAGATCGTAATTCCATTACTTATTATAACAGCAATATAAGGTATTTTATGTAAATAAGAATAACAAAAGAAACTCCATTACCACAAATAATCACAACAAGGTTTGGGATTTTTTTTACCCTAATACTTGACACATTTTATAGATGTCTAAATTAAAATGTGGATTTGCAACTTTTGGAATGCCAGCTCATACAGAATAGGAGTCATATTTTTGGAAAGTATTCATTACTCTTTCCATACTTCCATTCATAAAAATATTTTGCAAATGAAAAATGAAAGTAAATGTTTTCTCTTTCTAGAATTACATTATAATCCTAGATTTCTGTAAACAGTTCCTTGGCAGACTGAATTTGGACACATCTGTTCAATTTCTAACCCTCAGATTTATTTCTGGTACAATGAGTAATCAAGTTCATTTTAGGTAAGTGGCTGTAATGCTTGTATCGCTCTGAGACAACAATGGAAGCCACAAATTACTCTCTAAGTTTCATGTATTAATTAGTTAATATTAATTAGCATTTCCTTCACATACCTTTTTGCCAAAATTTCTGACTTCTCTGAATTTTCAATAGACAGGATGAAAAGGTTAATAAACCAGGTCAGTGAATACTGGTACATGGGCTCAATGTTGGCTAAATCAGCAATAGAAAAAAACAGGATGGAAGAATGGATGGCAATAGGACGATAGCCCATGCGGGTGGTGTCAATCTTTTTCTCTGTCTCTTCGGCTACTTCCTGCTTCTGAGAAATCTCATTAGCCAAAGCCTTGGAGGAAGATAATATCTTAATAGCAGTTTCATCTTCTAATATATTGCCTTCCGAAGATGAAAGAACTTCTAAAATCTTGTCTTCTATTTCTTTTAACTGCCTGGAATAAAACACAATTTCTCAGAAGAAAAAGAAGTCATTTAAAATCACTTCCACGTATATATTCTTTTATAAGAAACAAAGAGCTTGTAACCTAAAGAAATGCATCACTTTGTGACAAATATCTGTTAATGGTGATACTGTGTAATTAATTTCTTATCTTGCAAAATGTCACAAAATGGGCCTTTCTGCTCAATTTCCCTTTTTAATGATCATTTATGTGCTAACTAGAAAGAAATACGGCAAGCCAGTTTACTCTGCCATCAAGGATCTCAGCTTGGAGTGAACAGAAAGTAGCACTCCATTTATTTTATGAAATTTTACATGACTTATACAGCTTTACTCTTTCTACCTATGATATAGATGTTATGAGCAGCAAGTGGAATGCAACATATTCATTCATACCATGTTCCAGTAAAAATCAGGTTACCTCCGTTACACAATGAATACTAAAACTTTGTGGAATAAGAAAATACCCTGCCCTGACTTGTGGCAGGCCTTCTAGCTCTTCCAGTGCCTAAGAACGTGCATGTAAAAATATACTCAGTAATGCAGTTTTATAAATTAACAAGGAGGTAATATAATTCCTTACATTTTCCTGTTATATTTACCCTTGCAGTATTCCTATCGAACAAAAGAGATCTGTAAAATGTACTTTAATTCATCCTAATGATATCAAAACAAATAAGAACAGTTCTGTTTATAACATTTAAAACCTTTTATTTTCAGCTCCTTGTAATATCAAGGCTTGCTTTTCTTCTTCAAGGTCCGGCCTTTCTCGTGCCACCACAATTCCCAGAAGCTGGTCTTGCATTCCCTCAGAGGTTATCATGAAGTTTAGTAATGTTACCTATAAACAGAAAAAAAATATAAAAATTGCACCATTATTTCTATTAAAAATGCCTCTGCTTTTATGTGTCAAGTTCTGACCTTAAAATAGACTCCGTTTACTACAGAGTAGTACTTGTGAAGGTATAATTTGTAGAGACTATGATTAACGACATAGGCAAGCATGATTGTTGGATTTAAAATCCACCTCAGTTTCTCATAGTCAGAAATCTAATACCTCAAAGGGTTTGTTAGGTGATCAATATATTCTCATTTCAAACTTGTCTAATTTCTGAGAACTCTTCAACAGCAAAATTCATTAGAATCAGGTTGGAAGCTCTCTTCCATTTCAGTTGATCAGAGCAGCCATGGCATAATATAAGGTTCAAAGCCTGGCTCTAGAATCCTATTAGTTGGACCAGCTGATTTACATTGTAAGGATTCTACTGGTATCAAAAGTAAAGGAAATCTTACAAAGTGAGATAAAAAGAAACATTGTAATTACTTGTCATGAGTGCAGTATTTTTACAATCTGATAATCAGCCACTATTGTGAACTAAGGAATTTACATTTTCGTGGTGTCTATCAAGACTATTTGCTAACACCTGCTTCATCCAGGTACCTAATTGCTCTTATAGGCAGATCTCTCTTCATTGCCCACATCTCCTGGTTCTTTCCCATAAACATGCAAACATGCTCAGGTCTCTTTTTTCAAAAAAAGCAAACAAGAAACAAATCATTCTATTGCTCCCCCAATCCTTTTCAGCTATGGAATAACCTCTCTCTGGGCTTTCACAATGACACTTATCAAAAGTGTTATTTTTATATATTTTCTGCCTCCACTGAATTTCATGATACAGCCCTCTACAATCTGCTCCCTGCCCTGCCTCTGCACACCCATCCACACACACTGCAATAAACCACAGTAACTTCCTGGCTCTGGTCACCAATGAACCCATACTGTCTTGACCTTGGCTTCAATTGAAATCCTCACCTTTGTTTTTTTTTTTTCATGTATATTGCAGTCTGCTTGACCTCATGTCTTGAATCACATTTTTTTTTTGAAAGTCAGAAGGCTCTTTATTATTGCCACATATCACCAATTTTTTTACTTTTAATTTTTATGGATTGCTGGGAAAGGTCTTGACGGGTGTGTGATAGATTCTATGTTGTTTACTGAGAAACGATGGCAAGGAACACCCAGCCATCCCCAGGCAGAAAACTCCTAGAATAGTAAGCAATAAGTACTGGTCATGCACTAGTTAAACCAGTTCCCAAAACACAGGATACATGACCTTGTACCCATTGCTGACTCGCAAAGAGTGCTTTCTAGCTTATTTCTATTTTAGTAGTGAACTGGCACTATTGCCTGTTTAGTCTATCTTCATTCTATGAAGAAACACTGAACACCTGCTTATTAAAAATAATCACTTGTTCACAAAGAATAAATACGTGGGTCAGAGTCTGCTCTGGGCTTTCAGCTGGGAAATGCTGTCAGTCCCTTGATGGTCCCACTGTGTTTCCCACTTTTGCACTCTATCTTTGTGTCTGTTTCTTAATTCCTCTAGCGTCGCCTGGGTTGGGATCTCCACAACCGATCTGGTCTCAGTACATGGGTATACGTCTCTCTCCTAGGCCAGAATGAAAGTAACTTTAGCACAGGGATCTCTTATTTGACTTCACAGCTTGTTTGGCACAAAGTCATGTTCCCTTCAAACTTATTGAATGACCAATCAGAATGCCCACATTCCACATTCATAGAGCTGCTCTCTGCTACTTCTATTTCCTAAGATTTTAGTCACTTGATGATTCTTCCCTAAGGCATTTTATATAAAGTAATAGCTACTATGAATCAGGCTCTATAATATAAAGAAAAGCAAGATACAGTCTGGTCCCTGACCTCAAAAGTTTTTAGCTGAGCAAACCGAAGAACAAAGAACATCCAATGGGATAAGGACTCTGAGAGTGGTAAGCTTGCAATGCTACAGGAGCACAGAGGGTACCCAACCCAGAACAGGAAGACAAAGAGGGCTTCCCCCAGGCAAAGGACACCTGAGTTAAAACTTAAGAGTGACTGGCAGCTAGTCAAGAGAAAGAAGAGGGCAGCATTCTACAGGCCACAAGATTTCAACCTTGGCTGCTGACTGGAATATACTGTGAAATTTAAAAACCAGTAGTGTCTGGGTCTTAAGTCCAGAGAGTTTTATTTAATTGGTCTGGAGTGTGGCCTAGGGAGTTTAAAAACTCCCCAGATGATTTCAATCCAGGATTGAAGAATGATTGCTCTTGGCAAACGAAACAGCATAGACAAAGCAGCAGAGAAAGGCAAAGCATGTTTAGAGGAATCTGTTCCACCACTGGAGAGTGTTCAGGTAGGACCCAAGGAGCACCCTTCATCTACTACCTATAATTGAAGGCAAACATTCTCTACCACATGTATCTGAGAATTCAATGTGTGCAGTCGGCAATATTAGAAATACTTGTTTTTTTAACACAGGAACAGAAAATCAAACGCTGCTTGTTCTCACTCATAAGTGGGAGTTGAACAATGAGAACACAGGGACACAGGGAGGAAAACATCACACACCAGGGCCTGTCGGGGTTTGGGAGCAAAGGGAGGGAAACATTAGGACAAATACCTAATACATTCAGGGCTCAAAACCTAGACGACAGGTTGATAGGTTCGGCAAACCACCATGGCACATGCATATCTGTGTAACAAACCTGCACATTCTGCACATGTATCCCAGAACTTAAACTAAAAAAAAAAAAAAAAAAAATGAAATGAAATACTTGTTTTTTACCCTTGAAAATTCTATAAAAATTTCAGCAACTACCACAAACCATCAGAGGTGACTCAGTGTTTGCTCCTGATTTCATCATTTTCCTAATGAAAGGAGGTTTTTAAATAGGGAATACTTTTTCAAACCCAGGTAAAACCACTGCATTCTATATGTTAGTGACAATTTTGTCCAAAATTTTTAAATACATTTTCTATCACGATCTAAATTGTAGCAGCTAAAAAATGCCATTTTGGCACACTGAAATCTAAGTTTTTTTTTTTAAAAATTAGAATTTTAATTCGAATTTTAAAACCTGTGAACTAGTAGAGAAGAAACAACCCCATGGGCAAACTACCTATATTTAGCAGGTTATAATCAACCAACTCTAACACACAGGCAGCTTATCAGAAATATTTATTTGCAAGGCAAAAGCATTGTTCTTGTTTTTATGTTTCATTCCTTCAAGCCTCTGCTAGTCTATGATGTACCTTGTGTGGATTAGAAAAAGATGTCGTCTGCATGCAGAATCAGCTCCACACCAGGCCAATGCCTAAGAAACTTGGGGCTAGATTTCAGCCCTCTTCAATTTCACCTTGTGTTATGTACAAACTGCACAACCATAGAAGCTGCCATCACTCTCCCTCCTAATGATAAGCAGTGTGTCCCTACCAGTGGAATGGTTTAAAAAAAAAAAAAAGGAAGGGTCAAAAGTGTTATTTTTCTAATCTTAATGACTTATTTGTCACCTTTGGAGGTTTTGCCTGATTTATAAATTGTTTGCATTGCCAAGGTACAAAGGTTTTCCTTTCTTACAAACGAAAAATAGGTAATGCTGTTACTGAGGTTGCTGTTCTACTTCTGTTTTTCGTCTTTTCATCTGTTGTTTCCTGGTGGGCAGGTCTATGCAGACCTACCCCTGACATCAGCAGAAGCAGAGGCTGAAGAAAGAGGCTGATATATCCAGCTTCTTAGAAAGAAACATTTAATAGGGACTTATGGAACAGAAGCCATGTCTGTGTCCTGGGCGGCAGCAAGACAAGTCGGTGGATCCCTTTGCCATTACCCACAAGACCCAGGGCTCATATGCCACAGGAAAAGTGATTAGAAGGGATGCGTAGAATAATTGAAAGTTGTTTGACCGAAGGGCAGGACGTATGGTAAGTACCCGCTCTTATACAAGGCACAGTAGATAAACTGGAAATCTTAGACTGTTCCCAAAACAGAGGTTAATCAGAAGACAACTTCGTGGATTAGCAGCCAAGATGCAGCTGCTTCAGCTCCACACCTCTGTATTCCCAGCTCCTGCTACTGGGTGGGAGATATTGTGCTTCCCTGCTTTTACATATAAGAAAATATTTCCTCTGCAGGGACAGAGTAATTTTATTTTTCTAAGAAAATGTCCTATTCGTGGCCAGTAAGTGTAAAAGAGCTTCTTGCAAAACCCCTAGGAAGGCGACTTCCTCCTTCCACCTACACCTAGGCACCTCCTCAATGGCAGGTATCATCTGGGTTAAACATTTCCCCCACCTGCCCCATGGCAGACCTTGGAGGCCACTAACTACAGACTACATGGATATAATCATAAATTTATGAGATAAGTACTTTTTGAAATTGAGCAATTTAAAAAACTCGTTAAATGTCATGTAATTCTCTACTGCTTTGCCATTTATTCATGGAAAAAATATAAAGCTTTCAAGATATTTTCCCTATTGGCATAAGCAACCAAGTCCACAGGTTACATTTGCTTTAATCCAAAAACCATAGGCACAGTGGTAGCAAAATGCATGTTTTACAACTTTTACTTCATTGTGTTCAGACACAAGGAGGTATCCATTCATATTCCATTAATGTTGGGTCTTTTCACAAGACTTTTCAAATCAAGCCATTTGTTCTCAAATAAACATTTAAGAACATAAAATATGGTTTCATAATTTTATTTTCATTTAGACTCAAAAGGATCATACCAGCATGACACCATCCCTTGGGTGCTTTTGAAAGCAAAAGCACGTAAAAGATCCTAAAAGTGGAATCCAGAGGAAGTATTATAATTTGTAAACGAAAGCAACTAATTGCCTCACTATGTTTTCTAATCCCTGTTTAATCAATTCCAGCAATTAAAAATAATACAGCAATAAGACACTCTAGGGATCTTAAGGGTTTTGATACTGAATCATAGGTCAGTTTCCTCCTCACAGTGTTTTATGACTCCTACCATAACCAGTTATTAGTGAACTAAGAATTGTTGATGTTATGTGTGATAGTTTCACGTATTTTACTGAACAGTAAAAAAAGGTTTTCCATGTCATTTACTTAAACATTTTTCTCTAACACAGCTCTGGGATTTTATCATTTCCTTTTTGCTTCATTCTTTTTTTCACTTATATTTAAATGTTAAATAATATTTCTGATAAGTAACACTCCATAGTAACACCATCTATTGGTCTTATTCTAAGTGTTTTATGCAGATTAATTTATTTAATTCACGTCACTCTATGAGATAGATATTTATTATTCCCACTTGACAGATGAGATAATTGAGGCACAAAGAGGTTGAATGAAATGTCCCAAATCATACACCTGGCAAGTAGCACCTGAATCTATGGCCTTAACTACTACTGGATGTTCCCTTCCTGAGCAGGTAAATACATAATAGATATTTTAAGGTGTTTAAATACGTTGCACTTTAATTAATTAAAAATAGCCAACAATTTCCATGTTTTAACATTCTGTTTTCAAAATTAAGCTCAAGAGTCACTCCGTTTTCCCCTAGTCTTCCGCTAGTCACTGAATGCCCAACCTAAGTATGTCCTCAACTCTGAGCTCCCAGGACACGGTGCAGTTCCTCTGCGTCTTCCTAATCACACAATTCAGTCACTTGGCATACACATTATTTATAAGGCAAACCTCTAGAGAGAAGGGATCATATTTATTCATCCTGGAGGGAAAAAATTACACCGTCTCGATCCTTTCTCTGCCTCTCTGCAGAGAGATGCCCATGTTAATTTAAATACCTCCAATAAAGGCAAGTATTTGAATTCACTATATAACTCTTGCTTCTCTATATACTTTCAAAATCTAAATAAGCATTTCTTAATGTCTTCTCCTGCTTGCTTCTGCAAATGAAAGCAATCCTTCATTCACTCATTCGCTCACTCCACAAACAATGAATGCCAACTGAGGCTAAGAATTAGGAATAAAAACAGAATAAGGTGTAGCTTGTAAACCTAGGAGCTCAGCTGCAGATCAACATCTCAGGACATTTTAGTCACGGACTAAAACCTGAAGCTAAATTCACTCTTTAAAGGAATTTTTAGTATTCTAAAAGAACAGTGATTGAAAACAGTTCTTTTAAGTAATTACATACAATCAGATAGCAGCAACCTTAGTCTGAGAAAGAAGAATGGAGTTCTGTTTCTGAATTTCAATTCAATCATTAGCATATTATCATTTACTATAAAAAAGAATGTGGGTATATGTCATCTATTTTTAACAATGAAAATCTAAGAATCACATCAACTGTAGAAATTTGATTCTGATGACCCTTTTTTTTTTTTTTGCATAGCACACTAAAGGTTCCTTTGTTATTTACGTGTACCCACCAAAGCAACATTTGGAAATTATTATAGCAATTTTGGGAAATACCTAAATAGGACAAAATCCATTTTTCTAAGGAAGGCCTGTTCTTTTATGACTCAGGAGGAGTATATAGTCACTACTTACAAAATCTTATAAAGAAACATTCATTTTATATACTGGCCTTTACTGATGTTTCAGGAAGATAATGAGGATTTCTTAGCTTGGTAGTGATATAGAAGCGGAAATCAGGCGCATATTCAATTGTAGAGTCCCCAAGCCGGATACATGTACTCCCGCCCTGCTTAAAGGTTTGTTTTAGTAGAAGAGGTTCCAAAATAGGATCTAGTTCTTCGCCAACATTTTCTAGCAACACTGGAGTAAAATCAGAAAAAGATTTCATGTTATTTTAAATATTGACTATAAACATTCAACCCTCCAAGTTCTTCCTGCCTTATAGATAAATTCTGTTCCTAGTTACCTATAAAATTATTTCTGTTGTCTGAAAAGTATAAAGAAATAATGCCATAAAAATAGCAGCATTCTGTGGGAAGGATTTAAGTGGTAGGTCTACCTAGTCATCCTGCCTGCTTTCTTTCTCTGGGATCATAGCTGCCTGGCCTGGAGTTCACTAAGTGTTCAGGTATTATGGCAGTGAAGTTTAACCATCTGAGACACCAGAGAAAAGGCATTCCAATTATAGTTACTTAAATTGTTACTGTATTTTTAATTATTAAAGATGTTTATTGTAGAACATCTGGAAAGTTCAGGAAGGAAGGGACAAAGAAAAAATGGAAAACTGCTACTAATTAGATTTGCTTAATTTCTCTACCTCTCCCTAATATTTTAATTATTGACTCCTACAGTATATAGATAGAAAAATGACAGAAAGGCCAGGCACAGTGGCTCATGCCAATAATTCCAGCAATTTCAGAGGCTGAGGCAAGAGGATTGCTTGAGTCCAGGAGTTCAAGACCAGCCTAGGCAACATGGCAAGATCCTGTCTCTACAAAGAAAATACAAGAATTAGCCAGGTGGCAGCTACTTGGGAGGCTGAGCCGGGAAGACTGTATGAGCCTAGGAGGTCAAGGCTGCAGTGAGCCATGATCAAGCTACTGCCCTCCAGCTTGGGCAACACAGCAATATCCTGTCTCAAATATAAATAAATAAGAAAAAAAAAAAAAGAAAAATGACACAAACTACCTACAGTATAACTGTTGAATAAATTATTTCTCTCTAGTATGATTTATCTTTCTCCACACACAGTTGAGACTAAACAATATATTGAATTTTGCATCCTAGTTTGTTTGACTTACAGCATAAATATTTCCCCATGTTGTTGAAAACTCTAATAAGCATGCTTTTAATTACTGCATAATAGTGTATCATATTAGTCTTCTCTCATTTTTTAAACCAGTGTTCTATTATTAGATATTTGGATTGTTTCTTGTTCTGAATATTATAACAAGCACTGTATAAAAAAACTGCATTTCAGAATATTTTCCTCTAATAGCATTCTAGAAGGGGAATCCCTGGTTCAAAGATCAGTGACATTTTAAGGCTAATGATATCTTTGCTTAGTTAAAGTCTTATATTTTGGTGTTTGGGGTGCTATCAGCCAAACTTGGATGATGGCATTTTGTAGAAGTCCCTCAAGAGATGGGTGTGCAATCCGGATGGGAAGGAAGGGGCTCAGGGTGCTGGGGCGACAGGTATTTGGATCTCAATTGCCGTGAAAAGTGCAGACGTATTTTCTCCTTCCCACAGGTTACTCCTGGCTAAATGAAGTCCTAAAAATGTCTTCTTGGTGATTTCCGCCTCTGCTGAGATCTCAGCCAAGGCAGGCATGTCAGATTATTTTTAAACTCATTTTTATTTTCTATTGCATTAAATGGTTATTTTTCATGGTTAAATATGAATTCATCATAATGTATTAAATATGTTAATTTTGTATTGTTTAGATTGCTTCCACTTTTACACTATTATTAATAGTGCCACAGTGAACATCTGTATGAATAAACCTTTGTATTCATTTCTAATTACTTAATCAGGCTAGAGCCCTAGATGTAGAATTAATAGTCAACAGTTATGAACATTTTAAAAGCTATTTATATTGCCAAGTTAATATTCCTGAAAAGCTATACAGATTTCTGAGTTGCAGTGAGTACTCATTTTGTTGTTTGCTTTTAAACCTATTTTTATAAAATACCAATGTATTTACAAATGCTGAACACCATTCTGGCATTATATTTTCTTGTCATCCTTATAACTTTAAAAAGCATGGTCTATTATTTTGCAAGTTTTACATATAAAATAGGACAGGCAATCAAAATAAATTTTTCAGTAAAATCAGCTGGTAAATGACAAAGCAAGGCAGGGACTTGAACCTGGCTGTCTGGCTTCTTCACTCTCTTAACCACTGTACCATACTGTCAGCATTCAACAATGTATTTGTGACTTTTATGATTTGATAGGTTAAAAAACACTGTTAAAATTCACATTTTTGGCAGGGTGTTCTTAGCTGCTCTTTTTCTTGGAAGTGTATACTGACATACTTGACCATTTTTTCATTATAGGACATATTATTTACAATTAGCTTCAGTGACAAGTGTCAGAAAACCCATAGCAATGACGACAAGGAGAAATTTATGTCTCATATACAGGAGAGCCCAAGTTAGTCAGCTCAAGGCTGAAAGGACAGTGCATCTAAACAGTGAGTGATCCAAGATCCTGCCATCTTGCACCTTCACTATTCTTGGCATATGGCCTTTTAAACCACATCCACATTCCATCCATGAGAAAAAAAAGAAGAAATATCCTTTAAGGATGTTCCTTGGGAGTCACAAATGGCACTTCCACTCTCATCTTGTTGGCCTGAATATAGTAATTTGACCAAACCCAACCACAGTCATATGACCATAAATAACCACAACAGAGGTTAGGAAATACAGTTTTTTACTCAGGATACAAATAAGTTTCATAAGTTCAAACTTTTTCAAGTATTTTTTCCATTGTGTATTTGCTTAGGACATCTTTTCCCATCAAAGGACCATGTTTCCTTTTAGCATTTATCTTTTGTTTTTCTTTCGTATTTACTTTTTAAGCTCATCTGGAACATATTTTGGTGTGAAGTGAGACTCTGACTTAAAACATTTTTCCACAAAGCCAACTTTTCTTATACCACTTGGTAGTGTGATGAATCATTTTTCTGTTGGTTTATAATGCTTAATTTATAGTGCATCAAAGGCTTACATATGTTAGGGTTCATTCCAGAGCTTATTCCAGTTAACTCCAAGCTTACTCTTCTGAATGTTTTGTGGCTCATTACTCTCTTTTCAACTAGGTTAAGTATTATTTTCTAAATAATACTAAATTTAGATGCTAAATTTTAATACTAAAAATTTCTAAATTTTCTATTTATTTCTGAAAGTTTACATCTTTATAACTTTTAGTTTTCCTATCAGAGAAAAAGAGATGTCATACTCAAGCCTTCTCTTATTTGTATCCTAATTTAAGCCATAAAACTATAATCCAAATACCGTAAGACAATAGGGTATTATATTTCTTGCCTTGATATTTGATAAAACTGTGAATTATTAATTTTTAAGGTGTATCAATTTTTAAAGAGTTCTTAAGCTGAAACATAACGAGAATTTAATGTTCTTTTCAAATTTCTCTTCCATGTAGGACATAATTTCGATTTTTTAGTTATGAATTATCTACATGTGAGACTTCAGATAAACAGAAAATATCTTCTATAACTTATGTCCAGCTCTGTAGCACATTTTACCAAAAGTAAACTCAACAATTACTGAGCACCTATCAGGTGCTCTCAAGCAGCTTGTAGAAGAGAAACAAACGGTTATGCACATAAAATAAGGGAAATCATGGAAATGCATCAAAGTTTCAGTGTTGATAATTCATTGGAGGGGTGGAGATGTCACAGAAAAAAGTGGTATTTGAGCTATATTTTAAAGGATAAAACTTAGAGGAATTCACCAGATGGACGGAAGAACACAAACAAGCTAAGAGAATAAAGAAGTGCCATGTTCTTTTAATACTGGCTGCTCCCAAGTACCCTGCACTCCCATCTTCTAATCCTCATTTTGCCTGTAATCTCTTTCTGCCCCTTTAACTTATAAGCTTCACGAAAGTAAAGACTGAGTCTGTCTTATTCATGCTGTTTTTAGTATGTACCACACTGCCTGGTACATGGTGGTTGTAAAATAAATGTTAATTAAATGAATAAATGGACAAATAAATGAGCAAATGAAAGCAGCATTAAACCAGTAGTCTGTATCCCTCATTTGTTATA